AGGAACCGCCAATAACCGTCTCTGTATACCGAATTGCAGTATGCATTTGGAGCTTATCCAGTAGTATCATGATTGTGCAACTACTGGTCACTCAAACGGTCCTCGCGCTCTGTTCTGAAGAACTACCACCCAGTCTTGTTATTATGCATAATGTCCAAAGTAATGGAAACTATTGTCAATCGCCAACTGATGAACCATCTTGAGCTCCAGCAGCTCCTCACTCCCCACCAGTTTGGGTTCCGTACAGGCGCTTCATAACGCCTGGGTGGACATCGTTGGCCAAGGTGGCGCGGCACGAATTCTCGCAGTCGATATAGCCGGGGCCTTTGACCGGGTCTCCCACGTGGGCCTCCTCTACAAGGTCCGGCAGCTCGGCATTACTGGCACTCTCCATAGCTGGCTATCGTCTTATCTTGACGGCCGTTCACTCCAGTGCTTAGTCGGCGGTCAGATTTCTTCTCTCTACCCAATCTCTGCAGGGGTGCCCCAAGGCAGTATATTGGGCCCTACGTTGTTTCCAATATACGTGAATGACGCTGCCGATGTTCTTGATGGCAATGCTCAGCTTGAGGCCTACGCGGACGATAAGACACTATACAGTCTAGTATCCTCAGCTCAGTGCCCTCAGGACGCTGCACACACCTTGCAGGTATCTACAAACCGCCTGCATGAGTGGGGTTGCCGGTGGAATGTGTCTTTCGAGCCCACCAAGTCACAGGCTATGACTGCTACCCTCCGACGCACTGACCTAGACCTGCCCCAAATCCTGTTTGGTGGTACCCCTGTACCGGAGGAAGCCAGCATATCACTGCTTGGTGTTCTATTTGACTCCAAATTGTCCTTCGCTAGTCACCTCAGGACCGTGACCATCCGCGCCCAGCAGCGCCTTGGCTTTCTCCAACGAGCGGCCCACATTCTAACGCCAGCTGGCCGAACGACTGTCTACAAGGCATTCGTAAAGCCCCTGATGGAGTATGCCCCACTTGTGTGGATGGGCGCGCCAGCCAGCCACATCCAACGTCTGGATAATGTTCAACGCCGTGCACTGCGCATCATTGGCCCTGGTGCAATTCTCCCCAGTCTGGCTGTCCGCCGGACTGTTGCTGCTCTCTCGTGCATGTACAAATTGCATTTCATTACTGGTCCTCCTCAGCTACTTGCTGTATTGCCACCGCATCGCGTTTCTCCAGCCAACCCCAGAACCAGGATCCAGCACAATACTAGCCACGCCTTTCAACTGTCAGACACGCTCCCTGTCTCAGCTCCATCCGTCGTGAAGCGGTCGTTCCCGTACTGCTGTATTGGCGCATGGAACTCCCTTCCTGACAGGCTGCTGTCGCAGCGCCCACACAAAACACGTTTTCAGTCATTCAAGACAAAGGTCTACCGACACCTGAGAGACAGCAGCTGGTACTGGGCAACAGATTCCCTGTAATATTTCGAGCTCGTCGCTTGCCGGACCCGCTAATCCGCGTACCTGGCCTTGCTCAGAGTGCTCAGCTGTGTTTTGCATACGTGGAAAAACTTATAATGATTCTTTTCTTTTCTCTGTTTATTCTTTTGCCAGGCGTGGGCCATCCCCTGGATGATCAAAATGGGTGCCTTATTATTTTTCTGTTTTTTAGCTTGTTTTCTTTACACTTCTTTGTGCGAGTTTCGTATCAGATCTACTAAAAAAGTTCATAAGTTTTGGTTGTTGAAGTTGACATGTACATTGTACATCAGTCCAAACACTGATAATAAACAATCTCTTTTTATCTTGCTGCGTCCCACCCGCCTGTGTGGATTCACAGGAAGTGTGAGTTACGAAGTCTGAAGAAAACGTTGAACGGTCTCTGCTTGGATGACGACTACACCATAGCTCAGTGGTTAGAGCATCGCTGGCTACAAGCGAGGGTCCCTGGTTCGAGTCCTGGTGGTGACAGTCAATTTTTTCTTCGGACTTTTCCCGTTTGTCTCTTTCCCTCAAAACCAGTTAATATTTTATGACTTGGGGCTCCCCGCGTGCTAGTTTGTACGTGAAGTGTGTGGGTACAGTGAGGGCTGCGTCCCACCCGCCTGTGTGGATTCACAGGAAGTGTGAGTTACGAAGTCTGAAGAAAACGTTGAACGGTCTCTGCTTGGATGACGACTACACCATAGCTCAGTGGTTAGAGCATCGCTGGCTACAAGCGAGGGTCCCTGGTTCGAGTCCTGGTGGTGACAGTCAATTTTTTCTTCGGACTTTTCCCGTTTGTCTCTTTCCCTCAAAACCAGTTAATATTTTATGACTTGGGGCTCCCCGCGTGCTAGTTTGTACGTGAAGTGTGTGGGTACAGTGAGGGCTGCGTCCCACCCGCCTGTGTGGATTCACAGGAAGTGTGAGTTACGAAGTCTGAAGAAAACGTTGAACGGTCTCTGCTTGGATGACGACTACACCATAGCTCAGTGGTTAGAGCATCGCTGGCTACAAGCGAGGGTCCCTGGTTCGAGTCCTGGTGGTGACAGTCAATTTTTTCTTCGGACTTTTCCCGTTTGTCTCTTTCCCTCAAAACCAGTTAATATTTTATGACTTGGGGCTCCCCGCGTGCTAGTTTGTACGTGAAGTGTGTGGGTACAGTGAGGGCTGCGTCCCACCCGCCTGTGTGGATTCACAGGAAGTGTGAGTTACGAAGTCTGAAGAAAACGTTGAACGGTCTCTGCTTGGATGACGACTACACCATAGCTCAGTGGTTAGAGCATCGCTGGCTACAAGCGAGGGTCCCTGGTTCGAGTCCTGGTGGTGACAGTCAATTTTTTCTTCGGACTTTTCCCGTTTGTCTCTTTCCCTCAAAACCAGTTAATCTTTTTATCTTGTTTTTATTTTTCTAAACACCTACCGGTACTTGTACCCATTCTACTTCCCCATACCTAGATTTAGCTTTGCTTTACATTTCTGTTTCTTTTCCTGCTGCGTGCTTGTGGCATTGAAGCCGAGACCTTTGGTCGGTGCAGCCCCTGGTACCTCACCATCACTGCTGCCCAGTGCAGCCCCTGCTCAGAAGCTGTTTGTTTTTGTCCACATAATTATTTATTTTACGAGTTGGGTTTGTACTAATAGTAAAAAATATTTTAAAAAACTCGGGTCGCGACTTTCGTTTAGCACGATACTTTCACTGGCCAAGATTGGGACTTGATATTAAGAAGTTTGTTAAGTCTTGCGGAGTGTTCCAACACACCAAGGGCAGCCAGCCGCGTTCTGGTTTTCTGCAGTTCCTCCCCATTCCTGACCAGCCTTGGAAGAACATTTCAATGGACTTCATCATGGGGCTCCCTCTCACCCCCAGAGGCTATGATGCAATTTATACATTTGTAGACCGCCTCACTAAGTGTGTTCACTTGGTTCCTACACACCAAGGGCAGCCAGCCGCGTTTTGGTTTTCTGCAGTTCCTCCCCATTCCTGACCAGCCTTGGAAGAACATTTCAATGGACTTCATCATGGGGCTCCCTCTCACCCCCAGAGGCTATGATGCAATTGATACATTTGTAGACCGCCTCACTAAGTGTGCTCACTTGGTTCCTACCCACTCCACAATTGATGCCCGCGGTAGTGCTGAACTTTACATTCAAAATCTATTCCGACTTCATGGTTTGAGTTCCACAATTGTATCAGATAGAGATCCTAGATTTACTGCCAACGTTTTTCAAGAAATCATGAAACACCTAGGAACTATGCTCTCTTTCAGCACAGCAAACCATCCTCAGACGGATGGGCTCACAGAACGTGTTAATAGGCAAGTAGAAGATGTCCTACGAGCTTTTGACCGGACCTATAGGCCGGTAAGAAGGCAATCATGCCTGTGCTATTGGTGAAGTAAAATAAAAGTCAACAACAACAACAACTTTTGTCAATCATAAACAGGACAATTGGGACACCCTTCTTCCGTTGTGTGAGTTTTCCATTAACAGTTCCCAACAATCATCTATTGCTAACACTCCTTTCTGCTTGAATTATTGATTTAATCCTCGATCCCCGCCTGAGTTTATTTTCCGGGGAGGGGAGAGTTCTGCCTCTGTTGATTGGCTCCAGCGACAACGGGATGCATTAGACATTGCATGTGATGCCTCAGTGGCCGCTCAAGCACGCCAGGCGCTGTACGCAGACCGTGAAAGGGTTCCCAGCCAGTTCAAGGTTGGTGATATGGCGCTTGTTTATAAGGACTTCTTGCTAAGAAGTCCTTATTGCCAGAGGCCCGTCTTCAACCGTCCCGGAAGCTGCGGCCAAGGTGGTTTGGGCCCTATCGTGTGCGGGCAAAGATTAGCTCTAACGCGTATCGTTTGGAGCTTCCTCGCACAATTCGCTGTTGTTGAAGATCCCGTCTTCAACATTACTGCCTTGCGCTGGTATGAGGAAAACGCTATTCCTGGCAGAGAGCAACCTCCACCACCATCATTCACTGACCTCGATGGAAACACGCGGTTCATGGTCGAAGAAATTCTGGATCACCGAGAACGTAGGGGACAGCGAGAGTACCTGGTCCATTGGCAGGGCTATCCTGTCGACGAAGCTACATGGGAACCCGCAACTAATTTGCGCGATGAGTCTGGCAGAGACAATGTGTTTTTAAGACATTATTTGAATTCAAGGAATCTTAACTGATATTGCAGCTGAGTTAACTTCTGGAATTTCATTGCACTGCATTCTTTGTAATCTTCCTTCGCGATTTGACTGTTGGGTTCTCGACTTATTCCGCTTATCCAAATGCAAATTTAGCTACTTGAGTTGCTCGTAGAACCTATGCTTCTTTTAGGGGAGTGGGATGGTGTAACAGTGTTACCTGCTGTTCACCCTCCTATCCATCTATCCACGGCCCTTCGGCCTATCACCTACCATCCCGCCTATCTAGTGGACACCTTTACATCATATAATTATAACCTTGTGCAGTACGAATAAAGATCATTCTTTTCCTCAACCCGCAGTAGCCGGTTACACAGTTCTGTTCTTCCTTTTTTCTGCTTGTCTTCCTATTACCTCTCGCAGATGATGGCAATGGAGGATGGAGTGACTGGAACTGCACTACTTTCCGTGATGGGACAACGGGGAACAGAACAGTTTGCCAGTGCGGTCACCTCACCAACTTTGCCGTCCTATTTGTAAGAGTTCCTAAGGATTGTTGAAATCTGCAGGCTGCAATTTCTGTGGAAACAATTGTGCTCTGTGCCGTTTCCATTATCATTTCGGGATGAATTCTCAGTTTATGATTTCATAACGTTAACTCAACACTTCGATTGGTGCTCGAAAAAGGGGTTGAAATTCTCAAGCCTATTGTATTTTAATTAAATAGACGACGTGGACCCAATACTAATAAAATAGCAATAGATAGGATGATTTCTGCTGTCATCACCACACATCAACGAAGTCATGAAGGTTTTCCAAAATCGATTTTAGCGTTACATTCATGAGTGGGATATCATGACTAAAGGTTAATCATGCGAAACTATGATTACAACTACATTCTATGGTGTGTGCCAAGAACGAAATAAAGTACTACAGGTAGAATACAAAAAGGTGAGATGATGTAAATGTTCTACTAAAGCTGAGCAGAAAGGGCGTAAAACAATAGACGTCAAGTGAAGTGCGTACTATGAAGTGAGACAAACAGGTGAACTCAACGAACTCACGAAAACAATCTCAGCGCACCCAAGTGCTTCTTCTGTTTGCACAGGTCCGGTTTGTACAAACTGATACATAGAGCTTCCAGAACTTTCAAGTGCTTAGAGAAAGGTGCACGACACACAACAGAATAACTCAAATGATCAAAAAACTGCAGACACTTATGGTGAGACAGCGAATGAAGAAACACAGTAGACTTCTTACTATCACCATCATCATTCAGGGCATCTTCTCCATCACCCATGACCTCGTCGTCAGCCGCAATTTCTGGCTCGTCATCCGTGTTATCCATAGTATTCTCCTCCTCCACCATGTCAATCACTTCCATTGTACGTCCTTGTGGATTTGATCGTATACTGTATTTTGTTTTACCATGCCCCTTCAGACTCGTCACATTTCAGCAAAGGACTCCACCGGCGAGAAAGCACTGAAATATATATCCATCGTAGGCTGTGCAATATCTATGCTGGGACTTCTCGCAACCCTGATGCTGATTCTGGCTATACCGTAAGTTGAAACTCAGGTATTGAGCCAATAATAAATTGGAAGGCTGTCGGTTAGCGCTACGGAGATTTGTTGAAGCTAGGTGTCAGGACGTCGAATGTCTCACTACTCTGTCGGTTTTGTGCCTAGTTGTTGCACGTTCTGCCTGTATATAGTATCTAGTTACAGTGGTGGAGAGTTACTCTTAACTCGCTTCCATATTGTCATTTTCTTTTCTACAGTAAGCCATAGTCTTAATTCACATTTTTTACGTATATCTTGATTTATGGAGGTCTTAGGCGAGAACATAGGTCCCTTGACACAATAAGAGTTCCACACAAATTCAATTTTGGGCGATAAAGAGACAGAGAGAAATAGAAAGAAAGATCCAGAGCAAGATGGAGATAATTATAAAGAGTGCGATAGAGAAAGATGGTTAGATAACACCTTCTCTCTGCAGCTACGCGAAATAACATCTCTTGTCAGTCCTTGTCACCTGATTCCAGGCGAATACCACGTAACCATGCATAGGTAACTAACGCGTTCTCACGCAATCCATATCGCTCTGCCTATCAAAAGGGTAATTGTTATGCTGGACTGGCCACATTTAAGGTATAATTCCAGTCCTCTCAGGGCTGGGTCGGGACAAATTTTCATATGATGATCGATTCAGTTCGTGAAACACAGAGTTACGAAACCGCAACTGTTCTTCTGTGTGTGTATTCCGCTCTTTGCCTTCAGCAAATTGAGACCTGTGCAGACCATTAATAAACTTCACATGCCCACAAACACACACACACACACACGCACCCCACTCCCAACACACACACACACACACACACACACGTGATAGATAGATAGATAGATAGATAGATAGATAGATAGATAGATAGATACATTTATTAGAGCCGGGACAAGAGACCAAGACGAAGGAAACGACTACATGGTGATTATTGAAGAGTGGGAAAAGAGAGGAAGAGATCAAGTCTGAACGGCAAGATAAAGGGCCTGGGTAGCTACTTGCGCGCCCATAATTGCCAAAGCCACATTTAAGGTATAATTCCAGTCCTCTCAGGGCTGGGTCGGGACAAATTTTCATATGATGATCGATTCAGTTCGTGAAACACAGAGTTACGAAACCGCAACTGTTCTTCTGTGTGTGTATTCCGCTCTTTGCCTTCAGCAAATTGAGACCTGTACAGACCATTAATAAACTTCACATGCCCACAAACACACACACACACACACACACACACACACCCACAAGCACCCCACTCCCAACACACACACACACACACACACACACGTGATAGATAGATAGATAGATAGATAGATAGATAGATAGATAGATAGATAGATAGATATGTTGAATACGAAAAAGGGCGACTGACGACATATTATCCAGACCTTACAACGGGAACAGGTAGGTTGGTGGAACGACATTTATTAGAGACGGGACAAGGGACCAAGACGAAGGAAACGACTACATGGTGATTATTGAAGAGTGAGAAAAGAGAGGAAGAGAGTCTGAACGGCAAGATAAAAGGCCTGGGTAGCTTTGGCAATTATGGGTGCGCAAGTAGCTACCCAGGCCAACGGAACAAAAGAAGACAAAAGGTGAGTACGCGAGTGCATGCAGACCAACTAGAAAAGGTACGGGAGGAGGTACCTAACATACCTCCCCTGAGTGAAAAAAAGACCCGCGACCTCGCGAGAAATAATAAGACGATGAGAAAAATAGAGAGAAACAATGACCGAGGAAGAAGAGAAGAAAAAAGCAAAACAAAACAAAAACACACACACACAACTTACGGGCCTCACAAAAGTGTGTACTAATAAATGCACTACAGATCATTACAACCGTCAACGTTCCTGTACCACTTAAAGTGTGTACATAATTGCCAATAACAACGGGCCCAAACGCCCCTTCAAAAACATGGCACAAAAAAATAACTATTGGAGTCGGACGAGGGACTTGAATTGTATTCTGATGACTAGTATTTTGCACGGCTAATACAGCCTAGTTACACTTTAATATACGACATAAATAAGAGAGCGTTGCTCACCATGATCGGACCCCTAATAGTAATGAAGGACACCCGCGCGCACACACACTCCAAAAATCACAAAATAAAATAAACCGAAAATAAATTTGACGACGAAAGACGGATGAAAAAGAAAGAGAGAAATAAAGAAAGTAGCTGACCTGCATGACTTGGACGAGACGATGTTGATATGGACAAGACGAGGTTGACATAGACGAGACGAATGGCGGTAGAGGACGACTGGGCATGGGATGATCTCAGGGTCGTGGGTTGATCAATAATCGGGCGCCAATGTTGAATACGAAAAAGGACGACTGACGACATATTATCCAGACATTAAAACGGGAACAGGTAAGTTGGTGGAACGACATTTATTAGAGACGGGACAAGAGAGCAAGACGAACGAAACGACTACATGGTGATTATTGAAGAGTGAGAAAAGAAAGGAAGAGATCAAGTCTGAATGGCAAGATAAAGGGCATGGGTAGCTATGGCAATTATGGGCGCGCAAGTAGCTACCTAGGCCAACGGAACATAAGGAGACAAAAGGTGAGTACGAGAGTGCATGTAGGCCAGCTAAAAAAGGTATGGGAGGAGGTACCTAACAGATATATAGATAGATAGAGAGGTAGATAACTAGATAGGTACTTAAGTATTTAGGTACTGTAAAACCGGAAAGTCTAACGAGTCACAAAGTCTAACGTTTTAACGACAAATTGATTTTCGGTATTTGAAAAAACGTGATCGCTAGATGTCTGTGTGTAGATGCTTATATAGATGGGTGGCCAAGTAGCCATCGTTAAACTTTCTGCACGTAATCATGCCAAAATTGCAAAAACGTTAAACTTTTTGGTCGTTAGACTTTCCGGTTTTACAGTAGGTAGAGAGAGAATGAGAGACACACACACAAACAGACAGAGAGGGAGACACTGAGATAGATAGATAGATAAATAGCAAGAGCTAGAGAAAAAAGAGAAAAATGAGAGAGGGAGAAAGAGAAAGAGAGAGACAGAGAGAGACAGAGACAGAGACAGACAGAGACAGACAGAGACGGAGAGAGACAGAGAGAGGGAGATGGAGAGAGAGAGAGAGAGAGAGAGAGAGAGAGAGAGAGAGAGAGAGAGAGAGAGAGAGAGAGAGAGAGAGAGAGTAAGAGAGAGAGAGACAGAGACAGAGAGACAGAGAGACAGAGAGACAGAGAGACAGAGAGACAGAGAGACAGAGAGACAGAGAGTGTCAAAGAGACAGAGAGACAGAGACAGAGACAGGGAGACAGAGACGGAGAAAGAGGAGAGAGAGACAGACAGACAGACAGACAGACAGACAGACAGACAGAAAGACCGACAGGCAGACAAACAGACAGACAGACAGACAGACAGACAGAGACAGAGACCGAGGCAGGGAGAGAGTGAGAGAGAGAGGGAGAAAGAGAAAGAGAGAGGAAGAGAGAGAGACAGAAACAGAGACAGAGAGAGGTTAGGGAGAGAAAGAGAGGGCCGACAACGGTGATGAGAAATATAATCAAATAGTCAAAAATATGTTTCACTTAAATTCATGACTGTCACATTATTTCTCCTTTTTTGTTTTCAGGAAACTTCGTGACAGTGTCCATCATAGGATGATATTTGGACTTTGTTCAACTCTTCTACTATTCCTGGCCATATTCACCGTCGTTCTATACTATGAACATTTAGCCAAGAGTACTGCTGTATGCCAGGGCCTGGCAATGGCCATGCACTATCTTCTTCTGTGCGCGTTCATGTGGATGTCTGTGGATGCCACGATGCTCTACAAGAGTGTAGTGATAGTGTTTGACCAGCCCGGCCGTTTGCAGCAAAGACTTCTATGCATATCTGTATTTGGTGAGTAGCGCGCAGATCTTGTTTTAAATATCTCCTGCTCATGTTCATTATATAATGGACACCAATGTGTATATCATATCTCTTGTGTATTCCATGTCAATTAAAACTCCAGTAGATCAGAATGCGCGCGCGCTTTGGACAAGCAATCATGGAGGGAACTCTCAGCCTGAGCTGGTTTTGCTCGCGGCTGCAACGCACGGGGTAGTGAACCCAGGACAGAAGCGGACCAGGCATCATGACTTTGCACATCTATCGTTATGCTGCTTCATTACGCGACCTGTTTTATTATTATTATTATTATTATTAGATCAGCATTTCCCTTGCAAGTCCGTCGAATTCAAATCTTATCCATTGCCATTCCCATTCACTTTTCTCCTAACTTGCAGCGAATGTTGTGTTGTTCGTAACCCTGGCGGCTCAGATAAATCATCATTTCCAAGGCAGCTACCTAAGAATCTAAGCCTAGATTCTACCTCTATCCATTCTGTTTCTCCTAACTTGCAGTGATTCCGATGGTTATCGTTGGAGTTGCAGGCGGTGTTACCAAACTGGATATGTATGGAAGTGACAACTTGTAAGTCAGTCTGTACTTCCCGTATGCATTGATTCGTTAGATATCTCCCCAAACCCAGTCAGTGGATGTGATATCATTCTGATGATTGTGAAGGGGAACTTTTCGGACCAAAGCGTATTTCAAAAAATAATTTCTACAAAGAAAAAAAAGAGTTTTTGTTTTGCTTGGGGGGGGGGGGGGTGTGGGGAATTGGGGAGTTGTGGTGGTTGTGGGGGTGAGGTAGCATTTTCGAATCTGCCACGACACCTAATGATCACTAGCATGTGACTGGCCAGTACAGGTAATGGGTACTGGGACAGCTCTACCACCTTGATTACTCTACTTCTCATTGCGATCAGGCATAACGAAAGCTGTCAGAACAACTGTAAAGCCAAACAAAGTAATGCCACAGGCGTAGGTGACCCACGAGTGGCTGTAACACCCGTGTCAGGGATTGCCTAGAAGCTGATGTCACACATGTGAAACTTTAAGGTATTTAGTAACTTGAAAAGCCAGGCGCTGGCGCATGTCCAATACATTGAGAAGCCAAATATGGCTCCCAATTTGCCATACCATTCGCCCCCGTTGGACTGCATATAATTTGTTCTTCATCTATGCAAGCATACATTGTATTGTATGTCAGCTTCTTTACTTGATACAGGCGTCCCTCTCTAATCCGGCACTTTATAATCCAGCACCCTCGATAAGCCAGCACAATTTTCAGTAGCCAAAATGTCCTCTTCATGCACATTGCAGCAGTAAATCAGATTTGTTAATCCAGCACCCTCCCTAATCCAGCAGATTTTCGTGGCACAAATGGTGCCGGATTATAGAGGGACCACTGTATACAAATAGAATCACACCAACAGGAAAAAAACTACTGCAGTAACAAGGTTGGATTGCCATAAGGGAGGGTTTGGCAAGGGCCCAAGTTGATTATTTCTATGTTGTCCTTTTGGTTGTACTGTTTACGGTTAGATGCTGGATCAAGGCGGATGCTGCTTTCTTTGGAAGTTTAGTTGCACCTATGGCCGTCTCCCTTCTCTACAACGCTGGTGTTTTCATTGCTGTCGTCCATTCACTTCGCCCTCGAAACAAAAAGATTGGAGCGGTGAAGGCAGCAAAGTCAAAGGATGTGTCTGTGCTCAGAATTATCGTGTCATTGTCCGTTCTTCTCGGACTCACCTGGTTCTTTGGTTTTTTGGTTCTTTTTCGTGATCAGATCGTCTTTCAGTATATCTTCACGGCTCTAAATTCTCTGCAAGGCTTTGCTATTTTCCTCCACACAATCAGAGGACAGGAAGCCAACAAGCATATTTCAGAAATGTTTTCTTCGACGAAGCGCGCCACAGACACCCAAAGCGGAAAGCCAGCATCCCGACTTAAGCACGTGGCCTCCAAAAACTTCGAAAAGTTGGAAAACGTGTCAGGGAGCCACGGTACGATGCTTTCAACACTCGACCGAACTACAGACGAGGTGAGTACAATGGTCACCCAGGATCAAGGGACGCGTAGTGGAACTCTTCTTTCAGATGTGTGCAGCATGGCAGCTGAGAACCGCATTTACCCACCGTCCCCTACAAGCGAGCCCAGATGCCTTTTATCACTCGACGCTCACTCGCCTGCGTCTGAGAGCATCCCAATGAAAGATTTGGGGCAAGACAACAAGCAGCCTCGCGCAAGTGACGGAAAGACTGTGAGCCTAGGGATGCTGGGGAAACCCTTCAAATTCGTGAAGTACCAAAGCCCAGATGCTGGTCTGCCACAGGCTCATGAGACCGTATTTTCTCCACTATAAGCCCAGCGCTTATATTTTTTCAACCAGTCCGGACCCCGAGCTTATATAGACTGGGCTTCTACAAGAGACTGGGCTTATAATTTTCCAGTATCCCAATGGAAGATGAGTAGACTGCTCTGGATGCCACACGCACCCGTCACATGAAGGCATGCCTTCTCTAATTTTTTGTCATTGCATTATTCAAAGACACCGTGTGTATAGTCTCCAATGATGACGTATGCAAAACTATAATTATGATTATTATCTAGTTGCCTGCTCTGCTAAACATACGATTATAATCAGTGCGTCTTATTCACTAGGTACACTGCATTCTTGCTTATGTGGTTTGAAAGAATTCATGTAAAAGTGTATGTTCATTTTTCATTTGCAAGTATATTGTTAGCACACGCATTGGTTATTGCTCCCGCTTTCATTGCTAAAATTCACACTGGTAAATTTCACTGCTGTTGTTCTTAGTGTTATTTCTCTAACTAAGATTTTCTATAATAGTTCGATTTTGTTTTCATTGTCCTTTAGCACAACGACGATTATTGATGAGTGTTATACGAAAGCTTGTTTGAATCCCTATTTTCTCTACACTGTTTCTTCATATTTTTATCGTTTCATTGCACATTGTCTCCACAGTTTCACATTGCATGAATAAAGTGTACACAAATGTCGATTCAGCTTGTCTTATTGATGGCGGTTATTAATGCAAACGTCTCTTTCCTTTTTTCCACACGAGATTTTATCAATAGGTACAAAGACAACTAATTGCACAGTAAGCATTTCATGCATGTCGACATGTATGTGTAAAATGTTGTACTATTATCGCAAGGCACACATGGAAGGGAAAACGATAATTCGTTCAGAACTGTTTTCTTGTTACAATCATCAGTGAATCTACGTAACAATGAAATGGGGACTACATGTACTTGAAACTAATCTTAAATCTGTGGACACTAATTTTATATGGACAAATAAAAGTGAAAGAAGGTGAAAAAGAGCGAAACAAAAAGGTGATAATACTACATCTATTCAGTGGGGGGCAAGCTCAGCAGGCAAGAACAATGCATATGTGAATCATCAGCATCAGCAAAACAAACAAAGAACCTGAACAGACGGAAGGAAGTGTGAACGGAGGGGGCGGGGGGACAATCATACTCCCCACACTCGCACCATACACTACGTAAATGAAGATTGCCTCTGAAACTTTAAGCTGCATAATAATGAGTATGACTCCCACGACACAACACAGTGAAAGACGAATCCGAGTACGAATGACACCAATCAAGATAAATCCAATTGGGTGAACCCACCCATTCCACAATACTCTGCAAATTTTCGAACCATTCCATTATATAACAATCAGGATGACCCAACATATGCCTGTAAACTGCCCATTTCTTCACATCCAACTCCAGGTCGCAATCACACTCGACATGACCAGCCTCATCGCCATCCGCTTCATCCTCGGTATCAACTTCTCCAACGGACTTATCTGAACGACATTTTGTGGATGGTGAAAATTAATTCTGTTCTGTTTCAGCGCTAAATATAGCGCTAACAGTCGTTTAAAGCTCAGCTCTCAAGCTCCACAGGGAGTCTATAAATAGTTTGTTCCTGTTTAGCGCTAACGTCAGCGCTATAATCAGCACTAAAGTCAGCGCTGAAATTCTCGCCGATTTTTTTGTCGATGGTGAAAATTAATTTGGTTTTTTTTCAGCGCTAGAAGTCGTGTAAATTCGGCGCTTAAATTTTTCCGCGTTTTAGCGCTGAAGCCAGAGCTGAAATTCACGCCGATTTTTTGACGACGGTGAACATTTATTTTGTTCTGTTTCAGCGGTAAATTTAGCGCTAAGAGCTGTAAAGAGATCAGCACTTGTCGAAGGAATCTGTTACATTTCCCCCTGTTTCAGCGCTAAAGTCAGCGCTATTTCAAGGTAAACACTGGAATCATGTTAAATCAAGCGTCAACTTTCCCACAATTGTTAGCGGTAAAACCAGTCCAAAAATTCTTTATCCTCCGAGAATTCCATTTTTGTCCAAATTTCAATTTTCTCAACGAGAGAGCTTGGAAGCTTAGGGCCCTACGCTATGCATTTTTGCATTGATGACCTAGGCAAAAAAAGCATAGTAAATGTTTCTTTTCTCCATTTTTTTAGACATAAATTGGGATACGAACCGGCACTATCGCCCTACATGCATCCCCCGATACACTTCGCATACATACTAATTCTTCCAAGTTGTTTCAAGTTATGATCTTGCAATTGAAAGCCTTATTTGAATATTGTGGCCTGCTGTTTGTGGCCAGCCGTCTTTGATAGTACGATACGGGTCGGGAGAGGTGCGGTGGAGAGTAATACGACACCGTCTACCAACTTGATTACCGAGGTAAAAAAACATAGGGATGGTATAAATGTTCAATTCTATTTTTTGTTCAAGGCATAAGGCCATCATTTTTTATAGCTATGTTTCGAGGCAGTTTAAAATCCAGAATCTTACGCGAGAGGTGGAAAAAATAAAAAGTTACAAAATTAAATAAAAGGCTCATCATGCACTGCACTGTACATATACATAGCACATTCATGCATGGTGTACATTTAAAAAAAATTGTACATCGAAGCACAAAATCTGAGTTATCAGCACGAGTAAATATTTAATTTGGACAGAGGAGGCAACCGTTGGTGTCCATGCTTTGCAGGGTTATTGCACTCAGCTTTCAGCAGCGGGGCAAAGAGCTCCGGAATGATGCTTCCTCTCAGCTTGAGGCAATCGAGCGATCTGGTGTAAGCTCACAGAATACTGTTCGCAGTTGCCAAACAAACGATTTACTAACGATGGCCTCGAGGCCATTTCTGTATCCCATCTTCGCCGTTTGAAACCAGTCGAGACAATGACTCTCGCGCACTATCGTGCCCTCACTATACAAATTCAATTATTTTTAGTTTCTTTCCGAAAAATAATCAAAACGTATGCGTGCGGACGACGTGAAACAGAGATATAAAAAATGATGGCCTAACCTGGGATTCGAAACCGCACAATCGTCCTACCCTGTATATGCATTACCCGACGCAATTCGCATTCATACTCATTCATCCAAGTTGCTTCACGTGATTATCTTGCATTTGAAAGCCCTATTAGAATATTTTTACCGGCGGTTTGTGGGTAGCCGTCTTTGATGGTGCGGTACGGTACGGGACAGATACGAGATACCACCAGACAAGGTCCGCCAGACCCGCCCGCCCACCACAAACACCAAATTAAAGCCGTGTGCAAAGCTACAGGAATAATAATTTTTCTTCTTCCATGTCCTAGAACCGCAAACTCAGAGTACCAGAATTCGCATCGTAAAGCAGGATTCACAGAAGCTTTTTTTGCCGCAAAACCGGGGAATCCCCAACTAGCAACCATCGCGGACCCAACGCAACTGGCGCAATAGGGCCATCGCAGGCCATCGCAGAAGTTGAGCTTGGCTCAACTTTCGCGATGCGATGCGATACGACAAGCGATTTGGCGTACGATTATAGCCTTTTCTTCAGCAAAGTTGTACAAAGGTTCAAGAATTGCCTATAAATTTGTACAAGTTGTATCAAACCGCGCGAATATCATGGTGACGTAGCCAAATCAGCAAGATGTTGTCGCATCACTGACTTCTTCTGTCAATGGTATTTCGCGAGTCCGCATCGCACGCGTCCGTCGCAGATCGAGTCGCATCGCGTGTCACGTCGCAAAAAAAGCTTTTGTGAATCCCGCTTAACTCTCGGCATAAGGAATTTATATGGTTCACATTCCGGGTTGTGTTTTTTTGTGTTAGTTATCCTCAGGTATTCTTTTGGTTAAGTGAATTTTTTGTGACATTTTGACTGGCTTCAATTATAGCCGTATCCTCAAGGATATCTTGCAGGGCATACGAGAGAGAGAGAGAGAGACAGAGAGTGAGAGAGACAGAGACATAGAGAGAGACATAGAGAGAGACATAGAGAGGCAGAAAGACAGAGAGAGACAGAGAGACAGAGAGAGAGAGAGAAAGACAGACAGAGACAGACAGACAGATGGAGAGAGAGAGAGAGAGAGAGAGAGAGAGAGAGAGAGAGAGAGAGAGAGAGAGAGAGAGAGAGAGAGAGAGAGAGAGAGAGAGAGAGAGAGAGAGAGAGAGAGAGAGACAGAGAGAGACAGAGACAGAGACAGAGAGACAGAGAGACAGAGACAGAGAGAGACAGAGAGACAGAGACAGAGACAGAGAGAAAGAGAGAGAGAAAGAGTGAGTGAGAGAGAGAGAGAGAGAGAGAGAGAGAGGGACAAAGAGGGAGAGAGAGGCATAGAGATAGAGACAGAGAGAGAGAGAGGCAGAGAGAGAGAGAGAGAGAGAGAGAGGGAGAGAGTGAGAGAGAGAGAGAGAGAGGGACAAAGAGGGAGAGAGAGGCATAGAGAGAGAGGCAGAGAGAGAGAGAAAGAGAGATACAGACAAATATAGCGATACACATGCACATTGGGACACAGAAGGGATGAGAAATGGATAGAAAGAGATTAAGGAGCCCTTACCATGCAAGCGTGCTAAATCCACAATAGAAACTAAGGGGAAGGTTGGACAATTGCAAGAAAACTGATATGGATATTGAACACAATATAGATCAAAATGTAACTTCATCGGCCCTCTGGAAAAGGTGTACAATATGGGGTGAAAATTACCTGGCAGCATCGCCCTATTCACTCCGGCATTTTGTGTGATATGTCTCATATATAAATATAATCTTTTTGGAATTTTCTTGTTCCTACGAGGAATGCACGCTTCTTCCCAAACGTGACACTTGACTGAATCACCACGGAATTGAAATTAATGATGTCGTTGAGTGAGCTTTGGTGACACACCCAAACAGTCCCAGCAGCTGATCCCTGGGTAACGTCCAGTCAATCATGCTGTTTATTATAGCTGTTGGAAAGAGGTAAGCAGTTGGACTGCTGTACAAGCGTGCATGACTCTGCAGAGAGTATCTATTGCTCCGAATTATGCCGGATATGACTGACCTCATTGCTGTAGTCTCTAAGTGCCTGCAACATGCTTTTCTGCAACTGCACTGCGCACTACACATACATTTACATGCCTGCCCTAAGGCATCATATTGGAAACAAATGATGTGCTGCCTTTGAATCGTCCTCATGTGTCGAACTCAGACTTGTGGAAAGCATGCTAACCTACAGCAAGCTCTGCTCCTGCTGGAAGTGAACGCCACTGTGTGTACATTTCCCGGTATCATTCAGCTTAGATGAACAGCAACTGGCAGCTACACAACTTGGGCATCCGCTAGGCATTCGTTATGTCATTCTGCAGGACAACGGAATGCACACATAAAGACAAGTTTGATAGCACATTAGAGCTTGCGGTAATGTAGGTTAACACATTGCACAAGCCACCACTTCACACGCGCTCCAGCGGCTTCCAAAGAGCCCGCAGATCCCACGCTATGTATATAATATAACCTAACCAGTTGATTATATGGGAAATATAAACCTGTATACAAACCGAGGCGAAGCCGAGGTTTGTATATTGGTTTATATTTCCCATATAATCAACTGAGTAGGTTATAGTATGCTTATACTGAGCTGATATACAAACTTCCCTCTCCCCCACAAGGGTAGAGATTGGAATTCCAACCCACAACCATGGCTCGACGAGTCTTC